GTGGTACTGAATGTGAAATGACAAGCCCTATTCAGTTTTGGACGAATTTAAAGACCATCCCAGCAATGATAAAAATAGCCAATTACTTTCGTTCATTTCGGCTGGAGAGGACAATTTTCATAAAATACAGAAGTTTAATTGGTTATTTCAGATGTTGCTGTGTAGCCTTTAAAATGCTTTCCAGTTCTCGATGTAAAAATCGGGCGACTTTAAAGGGCACCCTAGCAACTGTTTAGATAACCAATTACGTTCCTCTATTTAGTGAAAAATTACTCTCACAGGCGGAATATCTAAACCTGATTGGTTATTTCAGCAGTTGCTAAGGTGGCTTTTAAAGCATCCACATTCAGGGATAACTTAGACGGTGACCGTAGCAACGACTGAAGTAACCAATCAAATTTCTTTGCCTGGAGTGGAAACGTAATTTTCTTAATAGAGTACACAACTCTGATTAGTTAGCTAGTTAGGGTAGGCCTTAGAATCACTCATATTCGGATATTAAAGCACGTTGATAGCCAGGATCACATGGCAGTTATCAGAGTCACATACTTTGCAGTTGTAATGGTTGTGATATCCTAGTGTTCAATGGAAATTTTCTCACTAAGTTTTAACTTGCTTCAGATAACAATCTGATTATTTTTGTTTCTTTTTCGATGAAAATAAATCAAACAAGTTTTATCAACTTGGTATAACTAAGGACACACTGATTGCGTTGATCATGATGATGATGGCGAGGACGATCAATAACTTATTAAGCGCTTATTTTATCTGTTTGTTTGTATATCAAATCCTTATCGTATAAGACAAACAAACAGGTGAAAAATCGACTTAGTTGCAAGTGTGTTGTCTAGCTACCTACAGAAGCATAAATCTTCTGTTCATTAAGCTTTTTTTCATTAAAAACTAACTGTCAAAACACTACGGTGCCCCAAAGGCTCAGTGGACTACGATCTGACGTTTGAAGCGATAGGTACTGGGTTCGAGCCTCAGTGTGAACAACACTCACTGGAGTGCACGTACATCCGGCTGATGAGTCCCAGACAGGATGAAACGTGCGTCCTGGATTTCTATGCTAGTCACCAAGATCTATCTAAAACTTAAACACCACTTGTCCTAGTGCGATGACAGCTAGTCTAGTGGGAAATATGGTTTTAGTTAGACTTAAGTGAAATAAAGGCAATAATATAGATCTGATTGAAATATTATCAAAGGTGTCTCATATCTCAAGATGACACCACTTCGAGAAATACTGTAAGGCAAAATAAACTAAATAGCTTTATCGTTATTAGAGTCAGTTCAGTAGAGTCTGTAACACCCAACCTCAATAACGATAAAACGAAAATCTTTCAGGTACATAATACAGCCAATAGGGATTGAAGGTGAACAATACAAATTTAAGATTATACGAAATTGTCATTGCATTAACGCCACACCCAAAACTTTTTCCCGATAGTTTTTTAGACACTTGTATTCAATGATCCACAGATGTAAATCGCATTTCTAATCAATAGTTGGTAATTTTAGGGTAGTTTTTATTACGCGTTGACTTCAGTTAAAGAATCATTGAAAGTCTAAGAGCATTGAACATCTGCTTTGTCCTATTTTGAAGTTTCTCAGCAGGTGCACACCTACGAAGTGGCTTCAACATTTTAAGTCATCAGTTACTAAGATAGAAGTTTTTGGATTTCAACTTTTGTTTCATGTTACTGTGTGCAGGGAAAACTTCATTGGAGAATTTATACTGCGGTTGGTCAATCAAAAAATAGAATAATCACTACTCCCATCTGGGTTACATGTCTCAAATCGCGTTAGCATCATTCGCGTACTTATTATTATTATTATTATTTACTCGGTCACTTAAGATCGAGTCCAAAAACGTCAGTCAGTCAGGTCTTGTAGTGAGTGACCACGTTACCATTCAGCAATCCAATGGTCCATGTTTTTCTAACTCCGTCATTTAACAATATAGCACGACGGTTATTCAATGCTCTTGGTGAGTATTTGTCCCTACACCTGACTTGACAGAACCCATAAGTCACAGCATCGCATCAGAACCTTGGAAGATCCAGGTTCGAAGCACGTCGCTAGTGACCAATGAAATTACATGACATGTAGACAAAGAAGTGACTGTGCGTGTGTAATTATGTCGCATAATGTAAAATATTGCGCACTCTATGAAATCATTGAATACAATTGGCAGTTATGTTTGTAATATGCATCCGGTAAAAACACACTGTTTGAATCCTAGCCTCTTTAGATATCGTCATGCAATGAACGTTCGCTGAAGAGTATTAAAAATAAACAGCTACTGTATAGTAAGTCTCCTTACTGGACATAAACCACACACACACACACACACAGAGGCTTATTTATTGTGACATTTCCAGCTTGAGTTAGTGCCTATAATTATCGAAAGGTTATCGCATAACTGCTGACATGTGGTCTTTATAATCATATCCGCTTGTTTTTCTTTGAGGTTATCAGCGGTGGAATTCTCCACATTCCTGTAATGGATCTTACCTAACAAAGATTCACCATCCAACGAATCCATCCTCATAAAACGTCACTTCTTACATCAATAATCTTAAAAAGGTTGTGTGTGAAAGGCCGCAAGCAGACATCCCATGGGCTTTGTAGTCATAATAACTCTTCTTTTTCAGGTACCTTAAGGAGAAATAACCTTCCATGGTGTGGGCAGCCTGAAAGTAACAACCGATCGCAAGCTTCTGAAAGTACGTAAGATCCAATCGAACATGACCTATGCTCCTCAACTCTGTCTTTTCCTCTGTCTTCACCCCACGGTACTAATATCAAGCTTAATACGCCTTACCCAACCTCATTCCTAGTCTCCTAAGACTCCATCATCGATTTCACATAGCAGCTTTCAATGTCCACACTCTAAGCCAAATCAGACAATAAGCATCGCTCGCCAGAACTCTTGAATCTCGAGCCATCGATGTATACTGTGTTTCTAAAACACGTATATAGGATGTGAGTGTGGTTATTCAGTTGACCTCATCTAGTCATGGTACTAAATCTTCAAAATTCATTTTACGAGTATCCGAAGACCCAGTGGTTAGCTCTCGTGGACTCGTTGGTGTAGGGATAACACTAAACTGTAGGGTAGGAAGTGAGCTTCTCGACTTGATACCAGTGAACAGCCATTTAAATAACGTTTGATTAAATCATCGCTGTCAACAAGATCAATATAGGACCGGGCATTACTGTGTAACCGTCCAAGTTACCATACCTCACATCACCATATCAAGTAACACAGCAATGAAATCGAAGATGAAAAAAGAAAGAAAAATTGGTCAAAGAAAGTAGAAAGTAGTAAAAGAGAAGAGAGAATAATGAGATGATGAAAGTATGGCGGTTAAGATGAGGATAGTATGTATATACAACTATGTGACTGATATAGGTTCTGAGTCATATCATCACCTAGAGTCAGTCTCCAACCATTGGTTTCTATTATCCCACAGACCTTAACTGGTTAGTCTGCACCGGCCTACATGGCGCAAACTAACAGTCAACGACTTCATGCACTGATGGCATTGATGGCAGCCCCAAACCTTTTTCCAGCCTGAACCTGCTTCGACTGTGCAGAGATCTCGTCGGCCACTGACCAACGCATCAGGGTTGATCCGACTTCCCAAGTAAGCGAAGCGTCCAATATGCTCTACCACTTCACTCGCTGTTGTTAGTCGGAGTACCGTTGAAGACCAGTCCTGGAGCAGTAATTTTCATTTGGGTGGTGAACCAGGAAAGATGGCTTCTTGTTCAAATAATACAAGAGTGTACACATTTATCAACAACTTCTATGCAATCAGGAAAGGACAAAAATATGAACTTGTGGATGAAGTGGGTCAGATATATATGTTGCGCATGTTGAACCATCACCTACCTCGATGTAGATTCGGTTTGAGGAAAGTCCAGTGACTCAACCGAGATATGTCACCAGTATATAAGGCATTTGACTGATGGTCTAAGCCAGGTACCCAAATATAGGTAGTTTGGCTGGGGTCCTCAAAACAAAAGTAATCGAAGATTGGAAATGTTTGGGGATATGGCTCGAAATCAATCACAACAGTGCAGATGTACATACACTCACTGTCATACACTATTGTCTACGTTCACAGTGTTCTTTTTCTACTGCTATCTCTGTTTACTTCTGCAAAATGTGACAATTTGTAGTGATGCACTTTTGTGGCACTCTATACGTTGATCTGTCTGTCTAGTGGTCAATTTTGCCGCTTACAATGAAGCAATTCACTATGCTAGCTGAGATAATTCAACTATAAAACCTTAGCATACTAGAGTGGTCTTTGAGATAATGAATGGAGAGACTGAAAGCAGTCAACTGTAAGAAACTACGCTATGGTGGTGGGGTAGACAAAGAAGAAATTTGATACTAACTGGAATGAAGTTCAAAGTCATTACGCTGGTGTAGGATAGTAGTTACGTGTTACTGATTTCATAGTATGGAATCTGACCTAGTGGTTGAAGCAATCAAACTAGTAAATGTTGATAGCTAAAATTATACTAGGTGAAATGACAATTTGGATAACGGCGGGATTTGAACCAGAGACCACTGGGTTTCAGACCCGGTGCTCTATCAACTGAGCTACAAGGTCCGACTGGTGACTAGATTTTTATTTCACTCCAATCATCAGAAGGCTTTTAGCCGACTGCCATGTGAATTCGTGACGCGTTACTATCGCTTGATCGTACTCACATTGGTTGCCTAGTCAGGACAGTCAAACTGAAAACCATTATAGCCCCATATACCTACAGCTCAGCATGCTGAAATTAAGGGGTTAGAGAATATGATTTTCCAAAATGTTTTGTTGTGGTCAAAAAAAACGTTACAATATCAAGAAAGATAGATTAATCATCACCTGTGCACTAATTAGACAGATAGAGGTTTGGTAACAGTAGGCTGTCTGACAGACAGAAAGAATTTAGCTTGTACGCAAGCAAAAGAAAAATAATTTCCTTACACTACCGTATAGGTTATCCATCTGCAACAAATCGTTCACTGCAACCTCCAATCATATGTAAGATCCAGATTGTTTTCAGTCTTCACATGTCTGCCCAGCTGTCTATCTCTCGATTTCCCTACATAATCATCGATTAACCAGTTGATCAGAAATGAGAGTTTTGATCTGTTAAAATAAATCATTTCATTAGTGTTTATTGAACCAACCCCAAGGAATTTAAGTCATCAACGATAAGCAGAATGAGAGAAAAAACCAAGATGGAACCCCGTACACAAGTACACTGTTTCAAGTTACCACGCTTCATAGTAGCACATAAAGAACACATGAACAGAAAAAGACTGATATCGAAGTAGAAAAAGAGAATCATTAATTTGAAGATAGAGGTTAGTGTGAGTATTCAAGCCTTAGAAGACGTCAAAGAATGAATATATCTATGCTATTCTGACCATCTCAACAACAGTACTCAACCACTCATTCCTATCTTCTAGGGGACCCTAGTCAGGCAATCTACATCTTCCTAAACGGCTCAGACCAATAGTCACACACTTCATCGGCTGATACCACGTCTTCGTGTCGTCATTCTGAGGCCTCTTACGGCCTAATCCTGTTTCTCGCAGCATGGCGTATAAAGGTAGGCAGTGGCTCGCCACGCGCAACACATATTCGAGCCATCTCGGTCGACAAAGGTTCACAACATCATCCATCAACTTGTCTGTCTTGCTTAGTACCCTTCGTTTGACCTCATCGTTGCTCATACGGTGATCCCATCAAACGCGAGGAACGACACGAAGACACCAGGGATCAAAACCCTGTGACTACTTCATGTCATCTACTTTTAACAGCCATGTTTCAAAGCCGTATAACAAGAAAAAACGGACTGGAGTGGCGCAGTATACTCGACCTTCAATAGATAGTCCGATATCTCGCTGGTGCCACAGATAAGCACGATTTTAACGTCAGGATAAGAATGGTTCGTATATTCAGTATTACGCTTACGAATATGGATTAGTCAAGCCGCATTAATTAGCTGTCTTATCCATTTTGCGGGACTACTCGATCAGTGACACAAATTTTCCAATCCAGTTGGTATGAAAAACACGAATCTCAAGGACTATGAATACAATATCCAACCTTGTTAGGCATATAACAATCTATAATACACTTAATGGAGTTGCTTGATACATACACCACACACATACAGTGTACTGCTCAAAGACCGTGATCATGTTTCCCTTCATTTAGCCTAAAATTAACTCTCATAGTCCAGTGATGACATGTTTATCCTCACTTGTCTGGAAATCTATAAACGCACAGAGGTAGTTAAAGGCATTTCAGTGAAGAAATTTTTGGTTCAAGATGGGGAAGATAATTGGTTTAATGTTCTCCTAGCTTTGACGTCTGTTCTTGGACGTCTTACCTCCAGACTAGGCGACTTCTTTATGGATTAGTTTAGTACCTTGAGATGACAGGAATATAGACAAGTTTCAACACGAGAAGTTGTGCCACATAACAGTGCAGAAAGCTACACCTTGAAACTGGGTTAAATGGTTCGAAAATCAGAATGATTCGAATGCGGTCGAAAGTACATACTTCTACAAGGGGTAAATTACTGCCTGAATAGCTCAGTAGTAATGTCACTGACTACAACACTGGTTTGAAGTGGGTTCGAATCTCATTGAGGACATCAGTTCCCTCAAGGTTGTAGATATGCCTTGCTGACAAGTACCAATAGGCACAAAATCTGGGTCCAAAACTTTTGCCGATTGCCTCCAACCAAATAATGTACATACTCACTAGAAATTGGGAAAATCTTAGATAGACAATAATTTTCAGTTGCTACTTGATCCATTATCAAATTATCAGTGGTATACGATGAGCAGCGATGAATATGATAATATCCTCTATTCTTAGAAGATTAATCCATTGAGTTATCTTAAATAAATGATATTCATAACAGCCTCCATTTATCACTTGTAAATTCCAGTCGTTGATTGGATCGAATAAATCGGTCAGTATTAGCATATGGGTTCCTGTATGGATACCTAGAGATTGCCGGTATTTTCAGTTTCCAAAGTGTTGATGACGGTTAGAAGTTAGTAGTGGGATCCAGAACGCACATTCGTCCTATTTTGGACCCGTCAGGTGAATGTACCTGCCTTTCAGTGAATGATTTTATCCCCACTAAGACCAACAATATTAAACACACAAACCATCAGGTCACTGGGTCACGACAACCATCCGTTGTGAGACGGTCATAGTATAACTTTGATGTTATAGCTTACAAACCTCAGTCTTTGACTGTTCAAAATGTTGCTAAGCAGACTGAAAGTGGTATACACAAGTGATAACTAGCCTTAACTGACTAAAACTTGAATAAATAAAAAGGTCAGAATGAATCTAGAAACTTAACTTCAACGTTATCAATGTGTACACACACCTAAGGTGTATATTTCTTAGCTTTATTCAATTTGTACAAATCACAGTTTGATACCTTTTGATCAAAACACAACCAACTGACATCAAAGTAAATCCAAGATATCTATCTCTACCTATTTCAATGACAAACAACAGAATTTATCTATACTCAGTATAAAGTGATCCTTTAAACATACATACATGCCTCAGAATTCGAATACTAAAATTTTCACTACTAACCTACACTTCGTTGTTAATAAGCTACCGAGTTGTGATTTGCACTAATCACTGACGTGTATACTAAATACATATGTGTATAACATGCACCACTCCGTTAGAACTGATGTGCCAATAATAAACATTGATTTATACATATAACTTCTGACACGACTATAGTGATGTGTGTCCCATGTAAGCATAGACATAAAGTTTAACCTGGTCTAACCGATATACGTAGGCAGAAACAGATTAGATACATGTATTGATGCACATTTAGTTCACGACTGTACTAATTATTAAAATTACAGGACAATTACAAGACATTCTAAACATGGAATAGATCAACAAATCTATGTGACTATCATCCGCATGAAACCAATGAAAGCTAGTTACCGAAGAGGAGAAACAAAGGAAACAATCAGCTGACCACTTCAAAAAACTCTTGAGTCAACCCATCGCCTGCAACACCCCCAGAAATACCAGTGAACACAAACCCTCCGACGAAAGCAGAAGTGGAGTCCTGAACGTTATAAAGCTGCTGAAAGCCGGGAAAGCAGCAGGACCATATGGAGTTCCCTTAGAAGCACTCAAAACGGACGCACAGACAACACTGGACATGCTCAAACCATTACTACAGGAGATGTGCAAGCAAGGAAAGGTACCTGCCAAGTGATTAGAAGAATGGCTACCTTGGCAAACTCCCAAACAACCTTAGTGATCTAAGTCTTTGCAACAACTGAAGTGAAATCATGCTCCTGTTCAACCAAAGCAAGCAAAGCATTAAGCCACATCATCCTGGACAAACTAGAAAATGGTTTCCAGTCAAAATCATGACCACAACAAGCTGGCTGGCTTCAGGAAAAACAAATCGTGTGCAAACCAAATTGCAACGCTAGGCATCATCACAGAACAGAGCATAGAATGGCAGTCAAATCTCTACCTCAAATTCATCCACTTTGAAAAGGCCTTCGATATCTTCGACCGAGAAGTAACTTGGCAGCTGCTTCAACACTACGGTTTCAGTCCCACAAACCGTCATCAACCTCATTCAACAGTTATATACGATATGATGCTGCATGCCAAGTGATTCACAATGGAAAGCTCAGCTCAATGATGCCTTTCAAGCGAGGTGAAGACAGGAGTAAAACAAGGCTGTTGCCAACTATCACCGATCATCTTCCTCATTGTGATCAACTAGACTGGACTGGATCATGCAGCAAACCGTGGGGAGCAAGAAGACGGGCATACGCTGGCTGGACCGATGAAAAGACTCCAGGAGAAGATTTCGATTTCGCCAACCATTATGACTCATGTCTAATGTCTTCTCGCACAAACTCGAAGATCCATAGGCAAAAACCAACAATTTCGTAGAAGAGGCGAGGCAGCGAAGACAGGACTTCCTTCAGGTGAACGTAGAGAAGACCGCGGTGACGAAGATACCTAACCAACAACAACAAGCACCAATCACCGTCAGTGGAAAATAGTCTCTTCTTAACCTACCTAGGCAGGATCGTTTCAACCACAGGCGGCCAGGATCAAAAGACCACAAAACAGGCTTTCATTATTCTGAAATCAGTGTGGAAATCTACTGCACTCAGCATAAAGCATGAACAACATCCGGATTTTCAACAATAATGCCAGTCAAGTCAGTGTTTCTATGTGGTGGTGGTTCAGAAACTCGGCGTGTCACCAGAAGCATTTCCAGCAAATTACAGACATTCATCAACGGCTGCCTCCTACAGTCACTCGATACTGAAGATGAGATGGCCAGAATAATAAGAATAAGCAACAAGGAACTCTGGCTGGCAACGAACCAACCAAGAACCTATCACTCAACAAATATGCAGAAGAAAGTGGAAATGGATTGGATTAGACATACATCGAGAAGACGATTTAGGGGCGTCACGTTCCAGGCCAGGCCCTAGAATGGAACTCAAGTGGGAAACGACAAGTTGGGGGTTCGAGGGTCACATGGAGATCGTGTGAGGAAGAAATGAGAGCTTCTGGGAAGCAGTGGAGCCAGGTTAAAAAGACTGCAGAGAACAGAGTGAAGTGGGGACGTGCTACTGAAGCCCTATGTTCCACTAGGAACCCAAGGGACAAATAACAATAATATAATCATCCAGATGAAAAAATTATCTACCTATGACATCGTAAATGGTTTGCAACGGTTTTTTAGATCCCGTGGAAACATATCTCTTGAAGGATTGACAATAAATTGGGTCTTGTGTACTACTGCGAGCGTGTGGATAGTTGAAACTTCGCGGTTGCCCACACTATAGAACGCTATTTCTTCTTAAGGTCTTAGAAAGAGTAAAAGATTTGTGTGACCGCAGAGCCTATGGGACATCTGTTTGAGGTCTGTCACACACTACATTTTGAGGATTGTTGTTTTGAAATCTACTACTTCCTGTTGGGAACGCAGCATCAGCGCGGCATTGCTGGTCAACTGTAACTTCTTTTCGTCTTATCACGATTCAAATGACCATTCTGAAACGGTAGGACCTCAAAGGAACAAGCGTACTGAACAA